AAGAAATCGATTTATACTGTTAGTTTGTGCAAAAATTGATTCCCAAGTCTCTAGATCAATCCAGAAGAATGCTCACGGCACTCGGGCTTCCCAAGCTGTCTCCGAACTAAGTACTAACCGATCCCAACGTTGCTTAACTTGGCAGATTGGACGGGATGCCGTATTTTCAATGTGCTATGGTCGTAACCGAGCGCTGGTGAGAGAAGGGTTGAAATAGTGCAAGAAAGAGAAATCCGAAGAGACGCCAGACGACGCGAGGGTGTGCACTTTTCGTGTGTCTCGTAGGAAAAAACGGTATCTGGCACACGGTCTTCACGGATAGGGCTACAGTGGCCAACCTCATCGGTTTAATTACCCAAGTTTGAGGTTAGCATTAACCCCAAGACCTTGTAAAAGTGTCTTGAGGAAATTTTGGAACGTGTTCCCATAAAGGGAATGCACAAAGCAAATGTGGAAATTGAAAGTGGGGAAGCATTGTTTGTTTCATTTTGGTTCACTTTCAGTTGATTTATTTGCCTAAAGCAGTAAACTTACCGTTTCAAGTGAAGATATTACTTCCATTTGCATAATGTAATGTGTAATAATTATATAATGGCACATACTGCACCTTCATCCACCTTTGATCCCTTCTCAATGACTCTCAATGTGCCTAATACCTTTCACCTAAATAAGTATTGTTTCGAATTTAGCTCTTTATCAAAGGTTTTTGTTATTTAATTACGCTTTTTCTTGAAATCCCTTAAAAATGCGAATTTTTTGTTGTAAATGATTGCTAATAAACTTTTTAAGATCAAACCAACAAATAAATGATCAGATTAAAAAAACCAATTACTAACTGTTTCGTGATTTATTTAATGTATGTAAATTGAAAGTAAAATCTTTTATTGATAGAAATAACTCAATCCGATAACATGCTTTTAATTGTGGACAACATGTCGAGAAATTCATCGAAATTGATTCGCCGATCACCATCCGAATCATCGGCATTGATGATCGATTGGAGTTGAGTCGATGACGGGTTTCCCAATCCTAAATCCCTCATGATTGGTCCCAGCTCGTTGGCGACAATCGTTCCACTCCCATCCGTGTCGTATTCATCGAATTTCTCCCTCAATTGCCCGAGCTCTGAATCGCTCCACTCCGACATCGGCAAACTACACATTAACTGATATTTTGGTATTTAAGGTTTGAAATTACAAAAGTAGAGATAAGAATTTAGGCGAAAATTTGCATTTTCTTCTATTCACTATAGTAAAAAGCTTTAGAAATTTGAAAGGATTAAGCATTTCACTTAAAAGTTTTGCTTTTATTTACTAAAGTGAAGCAAGAGTCAAGAGCAAGAGCATGAGCAAGAGCAAGAGCAAGATTCTTATCAAAGGAAAAGCAAAAACTAAAGAATAGAACTAAAAAGAGCGAAAAACTTTAAAAAATAAGAAAAAGTGTTGATGATTTGAAAATTGAAAGAATGGAAACGGCCTCATTTAAATTTTAAAACCGTTGCCCACAGAAACTCAACTAAAGCCAAATTCCATTTCCATTTGGAAACAAAAATGATCTTCAAAGACAAGAAAAGACCAAGCTTTTAAAATGATGTTAGATGTGACTTTTTGAGCATTCATTGCAACATTATTAGAAGTTCTTTTTACAACATGATCTGTACAATATCTTTGAGACAATAAATCGATTGCAACATGAATAGATAGTAGAGTGTGTTCCTCGCGAGTAATGCGTTTTTTAAAACGAACACTTGGGAAAAAATTACCCTACTTTTAGCAAAAGTTATTGCAGAAAAAATGACGCAAAAATGACGAGCCCTGCATTATATACGACACTTTTTAAGATACTCAGCCGTTTAACTGACTTGGTGGGAAATTCCCTTCAAATGTAAAAAATGATTTTTTTTTAAAAACACCAAAAAATTGCTTTTATGATTGCTTTTTGCTTTGCTTTTTTTTCGCGCAGGCGCACTTTTTAGAAAACGCATTACTCGACAATTACTCGAGCTATTACTCATGCAAATTTACTCGAGTAATTACTTACTCGCGAGGAACACACTCTAAAAGAAAGTGAGCGATAAATTGATATTTATCATTCTTTATCGAATAATAATAGTTTAAACCTTAAGCTTAATAAAATACATTCTTAGAACTTAACACTCAGTAGATTTTCTTTTATGCACTTTTTTGGTTCTCCAAGAGAACCAAAAAAGACATATAACTTTAACTTTAAAACATTTATTGAACTTCAAATAAAATAAATCAACAACAAGTTTCAAATTGATCGCCATTTTTGCTTGAACAGCCTTTCAGGCGCTTGGGGAATGCATCGACTGTGGCGATCAAGTATAATGCATCTAATTCTGTAACTAGTTTGACTTCTGCTTCATCCGATCCGAAATACCAAAAAATAAAAAGCTTGAAGCATAATTTTTTCGCAATAATTTGAGGAAATGTTGAAGTAACCAAACCCCCTTTCAGCTGGTTCAATGCTGTTGTTTTTTTATCTACGAGTCCCGCGAAATAGCCGGCAGTTTTCAATTCACCAACCCAATAGAATCTTTAACTAACCACAGGATAATAGGTTGCAATATTTACATAAAGGGTGGCGCAGGATTATAGCGACTGACATGGCACTCCAAGAAGAAAACATGGCACTCCAAGAGGCAAACATGGCACTCCAAGAGAACCAAAAAAAATCATATAACTTTAACTTTAAAACATCTATTGAACTTCAAATCAAATAAATCAACCATCAAATAATCTTTTATGAATACTATTTTACATGTCGAAGTTCACCGATTGAAAGGATAAAGCTCTTTAAAGAAAAAAGCTTTTGGCAAGAGATGGATGATGACAAATAAAACAAAATATTTAATCTTCATTAGAAGATTCGTGATTTGAGTGAAATTTTGTTAAAGAAAGCTCAAATAATCCTTATTATACTATTAGGTTGATGCAAAAGTCTTTTTCGTTCCTTTTCGTCTGCCGTTTCAAGCCAACAAATGCACCAATTAAACTACGGTTGATTTCATTAGAAAAACCAATTATTTTTCTGCAAAATAACATTAAAACGGGTTTAAAAATATTTAATGCCTGGATTTTCTTGAGAGTATGAAGTCGGGTAGTCAAAAAGGGCTAACTCGATGATGCGGTTTAGACACCTTAGCTAAAGAAAACCTATCTTCGTGTCAATAGATAAAAGATAGAGAAAAAAAAGTTTGATATTTCGCCAAAATTACAGAGAAATTCATTCAGCCAATTTTTCCGTAGAGTTTTTTATAGATTTTTACGAAAAAGGCGTTTTTCACTCTCGAATTTGCTTGAAAGTGAACCGAAATTCATTTAAAAAGATGCAAATTGAACAAAAAAACACTTTTTTTATAGAGCAAACTATAGATTAATTGGTGAATTTGTTACTTTTTAACAGAAGTACGAAAAAAACGAAAAGACTTATGCATCAACCTAATAAATAATAAAAATTTTTTGCAAGAGATGGAAGATGACAAATAGCGTAAATGCTGTATTAGAATGACACTCCGTAACCCCTCGAAATCTTGACTTTAGACCCTTGTGAGGGTTCTATAAATAAATCTAGACCTAAAAACTAATAATATTTTATTGGCAATAAAATTTAAAACGATATTTTTGAAAAAAAAAAACATTAGAGTCCACCATATGGATTTTTTTGGAGATTTCAAAAGGAATCGCGCGCAATAAAATAATTTCACTTTCAAACGTGTTTTTTCTGAATGTTTTGGACAAAGGACTATTGTTTAAAATTGTTTTTAACGAATTCTAGATTTTTGATTCATCTTAACTAACTTTTTAGGTTGAAAATTTTTTGATTAACGTTGATCAACGGAAAACTGGTAACTAGACGGTAGTTTAATCAAATAGAAATGTATACTTTCATTAATTCTTTGAATATTCATTGAATATTTAAAGAATTCACCGTAAATGCTGTATTAGAATGACACCCAGAGGGGGTATTGAAAAATAGAATCACACTCTAATAGAATGACAATCCCATTGGCAATCTAACTCAAATATCTTGGTGTTGGCCTGTCCAATTTCAATATTCTTGGTATCATTAGATGCGCCAAGTCTTTCTCTATCAATTGGTACAAAAACTATTTAAATTGAACAGCCCAACACCAAGATATTTGAGCTCAAAGTTCTATCTAAGATTGCCAATACTATCATTCTCATTTATTTCTTTTGTGTTTGATTGCCGTACTTTAAAGTAAACGATCTTTTTGTTTATGGGTTTTTCTTGAGCCTTACAATTCGTGCCCCAAAATTACTCCACCAACCTCCGTTTGCGCACTTTGATGTTAATTATCTGAATAGTTTTGAAGCATTAAGTGCTGCCTTGGGCACAAAAGCACTTCGGAAACAAAATTTCATGCTTTCAGTAAGTTGGGCAGCAGCCCACAAATCCCGAATGGTTCAAGACTGGTGTAAACGAAAATTCCCGAATTTCATCAGCAGTGACGATCATCAATCCGATTTAAATCCGATTGAATACTCAATCTGGAGTGTTCTCGAAGCAAAGACTTACTCAAAAGCACATTCAAGCATTGATTCAAAAAAATCACTTTAAAAAGCTTTTGCTGAACTCGATTGCTGAACTCGATTGCTGAACTCGATTGCTGAACTCGATTGCTGAACTCGATTGCTGAACTCGATGGTGGTTCGATGGTGGTTCGGCTTCCTAAAACGTCTGCTTATGCAGCGCATGAAGATATTCTCAAGAAGAAATAAACCAAAGCAATCTAGAGAATAAATTTATTAATGTTAATTCTTGTTTTTTTGTGTTGAAAAGATTTTAAAACATGTGTTTTATTGGTTCGGGTAATTTTGTAATTTCAGGTAATTTCAGTGACTTTTTACAATCACTAATCCATTTTAATTTATTTTATTTCTCTTTTATTTTATTAAAGAAAGTTTATTCAGCAAAAATCAATAAAATAATCAAGATCTTTGAATGGGAATACTTTATTTTCCGACACCACCACCGGCGATTGGCACTAAAATTTTAGATAAAGAATTGAGAATGATTTATAGTTAACTTAATTAACTTAATTAACTTGGTTAATCCTTTTTTTGAAGTCAAAAACTTTCTGTAACAGTCAGTTATCAGTTTGAGTTTGATAGAATTCTTCTTATTCTAAGAAATCTTTGAATAGAGAGCTAAAGCTGATTTGAAAAACTTTTCATGTTAACTGTACCCTCAATTTAGTAAAACTATACTGTTAAACTTTAGATAAAGAATTGAGAATGATTCAAAGTTCATTTTATCAAGTCAAAAACTTTCTGTGACAGTCAGTTATCAGTTTGAGTTTTGTAGAATTTTTCTTATTCTAAGTAATCTTTTAGCAGATAGTTAAAGCTGATTTGAAAAACTTTTCATGTTAATTGTACCCTCAATTTAGTCAAACTATACTATTAATCAAAAATTTTCAATATTTTTAAGAAAATAGTAGTATAGAAATGTATTGTCGTGTTAATTATGAGCTTTTGAAACTCACATGAGCATGAGATGAGACATTGAGGGAAACGAGTGAAAACTTGCACTCTCGCATACTCACAACCCCAGAACATAGCTGCCTAAATAAATGAAAAAGTTTTTTCAATTATAGCTGGCATAATTGCAAAACTTACTTGATTTGTCTTTCCGCATTGTCGACCAAAGTAGTCCTCATTGCAGCCCAGCATGTTGTTGGCTTGGCTGAAATGGTTTCAACGTTGAGAGCTTGATAGGGAATTGGGAATTGGACTTAAGAATTGAAAAAAGTTTAAAACTGACAAACACGCATCGCCGGGTGTTACTTTAACGATGGATTCCCAAGCTTGTCGACACGATCTAATCGTTGAACCGAAATTTTGCCACGTTGCCTGGAAACAAGCGTCGTTCAAAGCGGCAACTGAAATTTGATTTTATCTTTAGGTTTTATCTTTAGGGTTTATCGTTAGATACTTTTAACTTTAGATTTTACGGATCTTTACGGTTTCCGGAGGCTGAGAATCGAGCGATTATTTGGGGCAGGCGGAGGCAAGTTTTTGACCATTTTCCAGCACGATTTTAGATAGTTTTTCTATTAAAAATCTTGATGAAACAAATAGTTCCTGAAAGCTAACGTTCTAAGCTATCTAAATCTTATTAAAACTTCTTGATCTGACAAGTTTAAAGTACTTAAAAATGAGCTGCAAGTTGGCCAAAAGCTCGCCACCCGTTAACCGTAAAACACCGATTTTACCTTTAGATACTTTTCTATTCCACTAACAATTGCTTAATTGAGTTGATTAGTGCGTAAACTTATACCATCTGGTGCACTAAAATCTTTATAACCAAAATAATTCTGAACGCAGAGGAAAGACCAGTTTGGGTCAAAATAAAAAGCTCAAAACCGAATCGAAATCACCTTGAAGTCCAGCTCCGCACACGTAATGCATTTCATTAAAGATCGACGAGAAAATGTAGGCCTAGAAATTTCTAAAGCAGTCATATTTGACAAAAGCTTCTTTATTTACATTATCGACTTCAGCTGCACCGGCCTGGATATAGTGAGCGGCTGAAGTGCACACTGTGTAGTTACCCCCCAAACAGTTCTTGAACTCCCGAAAGGCTCTGCAATTCGATTTTGATAGAAGATTTGTATATAAAGCAAGTACAAGACTATTTGCAAAATAGAAACTAGATCTTCCACAAAAAAATTGAATTTAAAAGCCCACTTGCAAACGACACGAGTCCCATCGAAGCCACTGCGGAAATATTGCTCAACCTGAATACACATTTTATATACCTAATTTTAGAACTTACAAAAAAACCATTGTAAGTTTGACTTATAAATAAAATTGTACGTAAATCTAATCTAATCTAAAACTCACATCATCTCTCCAGAGAGCCGGATTGCGCCACGGTTGTGTGTTGTTGATTTGAAGTGCGTCGTTGAGAGTTGTCTGACAGGTTGAGTACAGACCATCATCGCACTTGCTTTGACCCCATACGCTACCTAAAAGCAAAGAAGTTTTGTAAGAAAAACCTGAGAATTTAAATGTTAGCTAATAGTAAGAGATGATTGGTCATCTACCCATATCCCTTTCAAGCTTATCTTCGATTCAATTCAATTTTAACAAGTTTGCAACTTATTTGGTTGATTTAAAGTTTAGATTATGAATCTCCAGACTCGATTTAGTAAGATGTATGTGATTTAGAAACAGAATTTCGTGCCTCTTCCTAGTTCTTGCCTTTAAGTTCTTGCCTTTCCCTTTCCATTGCTTTAAAACAAGCCAGATATCTTGCAGAAACTTAGGTTTCATGTACAAGAGTTAGCTTGAAAATTTGCAGAAAGATTTTTCAAGTACCGTAATTATTCTAATAGAAGCACTGCCTATAATGACGATCGGAGCGTCACGTAGTCTAACTTTAAGCGCCTCGTTCTCAACGCGCTTTTATACTACAGTGTGCGCTTAGGTATCAAAAGATAGCACCAAATCTCAGCTAGATTTTAACACAAAGCATACCTTTAAAATATAGGCGCTTAGGAAAAAATGAACTAATGAAATTGCGACTACGTGACTGTACGGAGAGGATGCTTCTATTAAAATGATTACGGTATTTATGACTGGCGACGATTGTTTACTGATAGAACTGGTAAGCTTATGTTCTAAGAGTTGTTCCAAAGAGCCAAAACCAAGTTTGTCTTTGATATTTTGCATTTGGCTTAACAAGCCAGATATTTTACAAAAGCCTATGTTCCAGGTACAAGAATTAGTTTGAAAATTTGCAAGAAGAGCATTTTCTTTATTTTCTCATGATAAGATTAATGAATCGATTTTAGATAAAGTTACAATACTCACCGATTACAGTAGCGATGATGAGCAAGACGTGTGAAAGCATGTGGATGAGTATGGAGATGAAGATCTCCTCTCGAATCCTTTGCAAAAGAAGAGTCTCTCAGAGTCTCACTTCTTGTTTCCCCCCACACTCCACAAAGTCAAAAAAGAGATAAGAATTGTAGAAAAGGGCGGCAGAGTCGGAAGAGACCCTCTCCCTCGTTAAAATCGGCCATTAACGACTTTTTGAGAAGAGTTGTCTTTTTTCTACACTCAGCCACGCATCTCCCAATCACTAGTCGATTTTTAGATGGCCGACGCCCTGAAATAGACAAGAAGTGGGAATTTTTTTGTAAAAGTGATGTGATAGTGATGATTCTTGGGATTACGGTAGTTAAGTTTAATGTTCTAGTGACTCACAACTTTAGCTTTTCTTTTCTTCTCAGCTTTTAGTTGATTTGAAAGGCCATTACCATTTTGCTAGAGCTTAAAACCAGGTTTAACCATTGTGTTCTAACAAACGCAAGCTTTCTAGCGCTTGCAATTGAAAACTTAAAGTACATATCAAAGATCAAAATGGTTGCTATGGTTGATTGGCTAAGTTCTTTGTAGTTGGAGAGTCAAGGGTTCAATCCCAGACAAGGGTTCAATCCCAGGTTCAATCCCAGTCAAGGGTTCAATCCCAGTCAAGGGTTCAATCCCAGGTCCCAGGTTATTGGTTCTCTTTTGGATTTCCCTTAACCCATAAAGGATTGGCATAAAACTCTAGTTTGGAAAAAAAGCTGAATAAACTGTTTACAATGAAATCCTAATTGTTAAAAGATTCTTTTTTGAATCTAGTAAAAGCCCCTTCAATGTCTTTCTTTCTAAAAAGATTTTCTTGAAAAATCGACTCATTTGGACCGCACCCACTCCTTCCCTTTCTTCTTGTTCTTCTTGTTCTTGTTCTTCTTCTTCTTCTTCTCCTTCTTCACTACTCCCAGCTATTCTCTTTTCGCACCCCTTTCTACACTCACTTATCAAAATGCAATAAACATTTATGTTTTTGCTCTTTCAAAAATTTCACGACTTTCAATGGAGTATTTTCGTGGCGTTTATGCTTTTCTTTGCGTAGTTGTGATTCATTGATTTGTGATGTGGGAATTTTAAGAGTAAATTTTATTTTCAACGACAGAAAGCTCAAGAAAGTTGAATTAAATAGTTGATTGATTGACCGAGAAGTTGATTGATTTGTTTATTGCACTGGGTTGACTGAAATTACATTCATCTTGTAGTTAAGTTTTAAGAAAGTGACTCGATTTCATCGTAATTTATGAATCAATACCATTAAATCTCTAGTTTTTACTATTAAAAATAAGAAACCTAGAGAAATAACTCTATTTAAAACTCACGTGTGCAAAAATTCTGCGTACAATGCGGGTAATAGGTGGCCGTTCCCATTCTCTCGTACTCACAACCCCACCAACCAGCAGATCGACCACAACTCATGAACGTTGTTTGATAGCATAAAGCAGCTGTTGCTGCGTATCTAAAATATTAATGAATAGATTAGAAATATTAGAAAGAAGGGCAACTTTATTAAATTTATTAATGAACTCGTCATTTATTTGAAGCAACGCATAAGACCCAACGCTTTCGGCCATGAAATACTTGTGGGTATAGCTCATTGGTAGAGTGTGGGCTTGGGAAGCAAGCAGGGTCCGAGTCGGTCGCGGGGTTCGAATCCCGGCTCGGTTTTTTTGAATTCCTAACCAAAGGATCGATGCTAAAATATTTCTTAATCAACTGGATCAAATGCTAAAATATTTCCTACCCATTTAGACAATCTTCAGCTCAATCATTGTGATGAATGATTGACTAACTTTATCACCATTTTACTTGTTTTGTTTGAGTAAAACTTGTTTGATTGGAGAAGGCTGATAGCTGCTAGCCGTAACTGAGCTGATAGCCGTAACTGACTTTAATAGACTTAATAGAACAAGTAGAATGCAGAGAATCATTATTACAAGTAAAAGAATAATACAAAAACATTGTGCTGTTTTAGCTAAACTCACGTGCACACATTTGTCGGATCATTGGCGACATTTGAAGCGAAATCGCTTTGACATTGATTCAATTGAGTTTTTGTAGCGTTTGAGCCGAAAATCCCCGCCGCACAGACGTCAACATTAGCAAAAACTAGAGAAATCTCATGCAAATGAAATCTTGCAATTGTTTGCAATGAAATCTTGCAATCATCATCTTTCAATTCTTTCATTTACCTGAAAATCCTGCTCCACAAGCGAAATCGAACTGATTCATCAGTTTTTGATAGCCGATTGCCTGAAAGTTTATTATATAGCTGAATTTACATACCGTAAATACTGTAATAGTACCCCACCCCCCCTCGTACAGTCGCGTAGTCGCAAAAGTTTTTTAGTATTTCATTTTTTTCAAAGCGCCCATACTTTCAAAAAATGCGTCTTTGATATCAAAAAAATAGCTGAAATTCAGGGCTATTTTTTGCTACCTAAGCGCGCATTGTAGCATAAACCAGTGTCGAGAAAAATTCGTTCAAAGCTAGACTACGCAACCCTCCGCACCGTCATTATGGGGGTGGGGTACTATTACAGTATTTACGGTAAATATAGAAATTCATAGCAATGTTGATATCAATAAAAATGTATTATTTAATGATTTATTCCTAAGCTTGTTCTATAAAGCTTCAAACTTGAGCCATTGTGATTCCAGTAGCTGTGCCGTTTTTGCGTGGCCACTAAACCAACTGGACCGAAGAAACAAGCCTCATAATCTTCCATTTTACTAAATTTTTAGTTAAATCATGAAAACGATTGAAATTTTCAACTTTTACTCACTTGAAGCCAACTTTAATGCCTTTGAAAGCATTGCAAACCGATGAGAGACCAGGGATCCCTGTTCTTGCCCAAACACCTTCCACAGCCATTCTCAATTGTTCATACGTTTTCACGCCCAAGTTAGCTAAAAGATTTTTCAAGTATCGTAATTATTCTAACAGAAGCACCACCTAATGACGGTCGGAGCGTCACGTAGTCTAACTTTAAGCGCCTCGTTCTCAGCGCCTTTTTATACTACAGTGTGCACTTAGGTATCAAACGATAGCCCCAAATCTCAGCTAGATTTTAACACAAAACATACATTTAAAATATAGGCGCTTAGAAAAAAATGAATTACGGAAATTGCGACTACGCGACTATGAAGTTCGTGCCTCTTCCTAGTTCTTGCTTTAAGTTCTTGCCTTTCCCTTTCCATTGCTTTAAAACAAGCCAGATATCTTGCAGAAACTTAGGTTCCATCTACAAGAGTTAGCTTGAAAATTTGCAGAAAGATTTTTCAAGTACCGTAATTATTCTAATAGAAGCACTGCCTATAATGACGATCGGAGCGTCACGTAGTCTAATTTTAAGCGCCTCGTTCTCAACGCGCTTTTATACTACAGTGTGCGCTTAGGTATCAAACGATAGCCCCAAATCTCAGCTATATTTTAACACAAAACATACATTTAAAATATAGGCGCTTAGAAAAAAATGAACTAACGCAATTTCGACTACGTGACTGTACGGAGAGGATGCTTCTATTAAAATAATTACGGTATTTATGACTGGTGATGATTGTTTACTGATAGAACTCTAAAGCTTATGTTCTAAGAGTTATTCCAAAGAGCCAAAGCCAAGTTTGTCTTTGATTTCGTCTGGAAATCACTAGAAATAACCTTTATTACTTTTTTTTGCACAATTTTAAACCCACGAGTGATTCCAAGAGCATCGTTGAATGCGGCTTGCACTTGGTTTAGCCTTTGTCCATCACAAGATTGATAGGTTGGTGGTCGAAATTGGGCGATTGATGTGCCTAAAAGAAAAATGTTAAATCAGTTATTTCAAAACTGTTAATCGATTCACTTTTGCTCCTTTCCAAGAGCTTCTTTACAAGAGGATTTACTTGGTTCGAAAGAGTGATTGACAAGTCTTAGATGGTTAACTTGGTAAACTCTTTTACAAGTTATAAAGAGAAAATTAGACTTTAGCTAAGCTCTATAGCTTTACAGAAAAGGAATAGAAGTTGGTTGTGAGTTGATTGAAAAGATCTGTAAAAGAAATTGTTAATAATTTTCCAGAATATCAAAAGATTTAGACTTAGAAAAAGATCTAAAAAGATCTAATAAGTTTATAGAAGATTCAGAAGAGAGTTTAAGAAGTTTAAGGAGATTCAGAAGATAGTTTAAGAAGTTTAAGAAGATTCAGAAGAGAGTTTAAGAAGCTTAAGAAGATTCAGAAGATTCAGAAGAGAGTTTAAGAAGTTTAAGAAGTTTAAGAAGATTCAGAAGATTTAGAAAGACAAAACTTAAAAGAAAAAAGGAAAGATTTAAGGAAAAAAACAAGTATTTCTTGATTCATTTACAGTAATCTTTACTAAATCAAATAAAGAGTTAAATGAAAAAAAAAATCGATAATGACAAACCGAGGAGAAGGAGAAGGCCAATCCATGAGGCCATCATGTCGATGGATCGTTTTTCGGTAGTGGAAGAAAAGCCTTCCTTCCTTCCTTCCTTCACTCAATCCTTTCACCTCTTCTTCACTTTCTTCGGTGCCTCCCTTTTTCCTTTCCAAAAAGCTCCCTTATCGTTGATTCCTTCTCCCCACAATTATTGGCATTTTAGTACCCGTCGCCACGCATCTCTTCGAAGATTTTTTTAAAACTCAAAACAGTTTTCAAGTCTTTCAAGTGAGTGATGCCATGGGGAGCGGCTTTTTTTGTAAATTTGAACCAGACAGCTTGTGTGGTTCTTTTTCTTTTCAAATAGTTATTAAAATAGAAATAGAAATAGTTTATTCAATGATCAGAGAACAGAGAATTCAATGATGATCACAAATCACAAATTAACTAAAGTAGTTAAGCAAAAAGATTGAAAAGCACACACTTTGAAATGAAGTTTTTAAAAATATTGTCAAAAACTTTTAGTTTAATTTCTATTTAACTAGTCAGTGAACAGTAAAGTATTTTGCTTTATTAAGATCAATTTTTTCAAGAATAACAGTGTTCTATAAAGATTTGAGTTTAAATTAGCATAACGTAGTTTCTCTAATAGTAGTGCACCCGAGTTGGTGACGATTTTACGGCTTCCAAAGTTCTCACAGAAGCTCAATACTCTAATCCTCCACAAGATCTCATCATCAGCTACATTTTCCGACCCCACATCGATAGGTTCTGGTAACCGGTTCTTGAGATTTCAAGGATCTCGAGAACTTAGGCGACGCTCAGGGTTCACTATTATTAGAAAATACGGTATATAGAAAAGCACCCTTCCTTTCTAGGACCCATATCTTCCTTCAATTAGATTACCAATCAAGAGTGGCTCACAAGAAGAGACCGGATCTACAGAAAAAAAGGTATATTGTAAAAGAAAATAGCTTTAAGATCTATTAGAGGCTCTAATTACTGTTTATTTCTGATAATAGTGCATCCAGCTGAGCCGAGTTGATCACTATTTTACGGTTTCTAAGTTTTCGCAGAAGCCCAACACTCAAATCCCCCATAAGATCTCATCGTCAGCTACATTTTCCGACCCCACATCGATAGGTTCTGATAAGCGGTTCTCGAGATTTCGAGCAATTTAGGCGACGTTCAGGGTGCACTACTATTAGAGAAAATACGGTATTAGCAAATTGTAATTTTTTGAATGATGCTAAATAGAACTTAATTAGACTAATGAAATGGGGAAATGAAAAGAAAAGACGCGAGTTTATTCGTCGTTTAGCCGCTGTTTTCTCAGGATCGATTAGTCAAGCTAGTCAAGCTTTATTTAGTATTATTCAAAGCTTAAAAATCTATAGCAGTGGACTAAATCAACATCTTTGCTTTAGATAAACTTTTCTCTTGATACTCACCTTATAGTTTTCAGTTTTTTTTATACAGCTCAAAATGATTTCTTTAGGTGCGATGTGTCTTCAATTTGCTCGAACCTATTCAAATTAGACAATCAATGATTGGGCCCGAGTGATTTTCGTTGATGAAACAAAAGTTGATATTTTTCCTTCAAATCGAAATCACCTGATCCGACGTTCAGTCGGAAAATGATATCAACTCAAGTGCCTGCAACCTACGGTGAAAAGAGGTGGAGGATCAATTATGTCTTTCGGTAAGGATAATTTTCTTTTTATGCAGCCCGGCGTGATTTCTTTAGGTGCGATGTGTAAAAGTTCAACAGGGTCGCTGGTCCTCGTAAAGTCAACAATGGATTCCCGCCGATATATTGAGATATTGGACAGATGTCTACTTCCATTTGCGACTGCTTCGATGAATCCAGGATGGTTTCTTTATCAAGATAATTCGCCAGTACACAAAAGCAAACTTTTGATGGGCCGCGTTGTGACTATTTCGAATGGAGGAAATTTGCCGGGATGGTTTGGAATCAATCACGTTTCTTTAATCAAGGCTCCACCATTCTCACCGGATTTAAATGTCATTGAGAATTTATGGGCTTATTTAAAATCAAAATTGCGAGGAAAACGATTCAATTGTAAAGTCGAGCTATGGTTTTACATCAGAAAAATTTGGAGGACGATTGGACCTGGAATTCTTGATGAATTAATTGCATCGATGCCTACTCGTATTAAAGAAGTACTTTTGGCAAAAGGAGGAGCGACTAAATATTGATTAAAGCTTAATTTCGTTTTGTGTGAAAAGACTTTTGCACCACGATTTTCAGGGGTGTTTTGACAATTATATTTTTTTCTCAATAAATGTGTTGTATCAACAAAAATCACTCGGGCCCAATTATCGATTGTCCAATTTGAATAGGTTCGAGCAAATTGAAGGCGTTGCCTCCTGTGTTTGGCTGTCATCATAGGCTTGGAAGCAGGTCTTCTAGTATACAATGCTGCTTGAAGCAAGCGTCGATGCAAGTTCCAGCGGGAAATATTCTTGTTTGAAATTTGTTTGAAAAGTATGACTCCATCGTTCAACGTCAAATTCGGATCCTTTTTGAAAGCCCGTAAGGAATCGGTCTTCATTCTTTGTTGTAATCCTCGGTCGTCCCTTTTTCCTACATCTGTGCACATTTCCAGACGCATTTATTTTTGCCGTAACAAGAGAAACTTTTGTGGGCGTACATCCTAAGAGGCGAGCAACGTCTTGTCGTGGCATTCCATCCTTCTTTGCCTCGACGATCCTTTCTTTATCCGGAGTTGACAAGTACGCTGCTGGCATCTAAAAAAAATAAAATAATACCAGTAAATACGAAGCGAACGAAAATAATAAAAATTTTGCAAATGTGAAAGACTTTTGCACCACGATTTTCAGGGTTGTTTTGACAATTATATTTTTTTCTCAATGAATAAGTGTTGTATAGCGATAACGTTTGTGTAAATAAATTGTACATATATTTGTGTAACTAAAACGATTAATGGCTTAAAGAGCGCCATGAACTTTATCAAAGAAAATTGATGAACATTTTTAGAAAATTGAATATGAAAAGACTTTTGCACATGACTGTAAAATGACTCAATTAATTCAGTAATTTTTTTCCTCGAGAATTCGATTTATGGCCAAAAATTTGGTTGATTTCTCTTGTTAATATTCTTTCAATGATTTACTTGATCAACTACGCAAAAATTACGATCAAATATGTCTCTTGGGATTTCAAAAAACGATCAGAAAAAGATTAGACACTCTGAAATTTTAGAGTTTCATTTCTACATCAAATTTTCATTGAATTCTGCATGTCGTCTTTTTGGGCTTTGTTTCGAAACAAGTTTAGAGATCTTATAATTGCTTTAATGATATCGATAACGATGATGGGTTTGTTTAAGAGTTTTTTCTGTAAACTGATCTTTGAAAAGTTTTCTTTATTGATAAAGAAAAGAATAGACTATTTCTTTGACTAGAAGACGTTTTCTAATGAAAACGTAATTAAACAATAAAAAAATTTCTAATGAAAACAGTAATTCAAATGATTTTTAAGTTCATACCACCAAATTTGTATCTTGTTGATTTTTGTTTTCAAAATTTTGTGTCAAGAATTGGTTCAAGAGTTGGCTCATAGAAACTGTAGCTATAGCTATAGCTGTAGCTGTAGCTGTATATTACTGTAGCTTTTTTTGAAAAGGTTTTAGAATTACGGTAGTTTTTTTTCTGAAGAGATTACTCTGGAGAGCATCTTTTAGAAAACAAATTAAAAAAATCAGTTAGAAACATCATCAGTTAGAAATATTCTTGTTAAGAAGACTTGCAATGATCTGTTTTCATCTTTAGTCATTGCAAGTCTCCTTTCGTTGATTGCCAATCAAAATTGGCAATTAGTGAACGAGAATGGTGAAGAAGTCGAAAACGAAACCAATCTAAACACAACTGTTTATGTTGATCCTAATGACGGGCTGAATCTCAATGTCACTGATCCTTTTTCAACGATCACTTTTGGGGTTATTTGCAATTTCTCGGCAATAATCGACTTTTTATAGATGCTTATTCTAAGCTTACTCACTACATCATTGGCAGCCTTTTTCTCAGCAAGCAATCATCATTTATCGTGCCCAATTCGGTAAGTGCTGCATTTGTTCAGTAATCGAATTCATTATCATCAATTACCAATGTCCCTCTCGAGGAAGCAAGAGCAAGCAATTGTTTAAATAAGTTTTATTACTTTTCTATGCTTTTGAAAGCTAATAATTTTAGTAACTGTTAACTAAAACCTTCGAAATCTAGCAAAGAATCAAAAACTTCAAAAAAGGGGAAAAAATCTAGCCTTAGTGGGGTCGAATTTGCCGCCTAAAGGGCTATTCGCCTTCGCGACAAGCATGTAAGCCAGTCGGCCATCCGTCACGCTACACAGTCGCTTTGAAACCCGTCTTATAAAGCAATCACAAGAAAAGAATACACTTTAATGACCAGTCTTTAATCTTTAAAAAATTGATTCAAGAATTTGTGCATACCGTATTCTCTCTAATAGTAGTGCGCACTACTATTTTTTGAACCCCCTCCTGGACCGCAATACTATTAGAGAGTGCACTACTATGAAAGAGTGCACCTCTATTAGAGAGAATACGGTATTTCATAGACTTCGTTTGACGCGTTTTTCAATCTACTTTTTGCAATCAAACGTGCATATTCTCTTTTCTAAATTTTTAACCCAATTCAGTCAATTCCAAGCATCTTTCAGCCTATTGGCCGCCGCAGAAAATCTAAACAAATTCATCTTTGCATTGTGCTATTTTCTAGCTCAAATATGTGACCAACCCTGGGTATCAGTGAGGTATCTTATTCAAAAAGTTAATTTAATATTACCTTGCTTTTTCCAGTTGTACTGATACGATAAGCAACACATTTTCAACGATTTACTCAATCGCTGATGAATACAACCTTTGCGACATCGCTCAATATTGTCAGTGCTTGATTTCGATTAGGTAAACCTTAACTGAAACTCAATATTGTCAGTGCTCAATATTGTCAGTGCTCAATATTGTCAGTGCTCAATATTGTCAGTGTTCAATATTGTCAGTGTTCAATATTGTCAGTGTTCAATATTGTCAGTGCTTGATTTTCGATTAGGTAAACCTTTGACTGAAACCTTGTAAAATTTCTTCTTTCTTCAGTCGTTTTATGGCCTTATCTTTTAACGGAATCTATTTTCAATATACTTTAAAATGGCCGTTTATTCAACTCGTATTTCCCTACATTCTTCGTGCCATTATCACAATGCTAAAATGGCCGATTGCTGATGCGACACGGCTTTCGTTTTCTTGGATTCTTTGGCAATCTATTCGATTGTTTCCCTATTTTCTTACATGTGGGCTTGACTTTGTGACGAATCGAAAAATGGATTCAGTGAGTGAAACAAAAAGACTGATTGATTGAGAAATGGTTTCAGCTGAAAAGAATTGGCAAAGCTACGCAAGTCGAGCGTCTTCTAATGATACAGGTTTGATTTTCAATATGCAGTAATCAAATAGGCCTAAAATAGACAGCTAAGATTCAAAAAAAGCCATGCTCTGGTCGGACTTTCGGTTTTGTTTGTCTTTGCCTGGCTTGCTGTTTGTCTTTGCCTGGCTTGCTATACTAACTAGGGAAAGTCACCAGGTCAAGGTGTCCCTTTGATATGAGATCATTTATAGAAAAGACTATGCTGATTCTGAATCTGCTTTCACTTTTTCCAATGGAGCTCTGTAACGCGAGATATCTGGTATTAAAGTTTAAACCGATTTTCGGAGTTCTTATAAGCTTTTTCTCTCTTTCTTAAATATAGAGCTAGTGACGCGATGGATAGTGTGCTTGCTTCCAGAATTTTTTGCCTGGGTTCGAGTTTTTTTTTTGGTCTTTCGAGTCTTCTGCCCATTTTCTTTGCTTTCTTCCTTTGTCTGCACCTTTTGCCTAAAAAATAACAAACAAACAAAACGAGAAAATGATCAAAAAACGGCACGACGGCTACTACCCAAAAGGTTGAGGGTTCGATTCCGACTCGCGACAAAAATTTAGACTTTTTTATGCAAAAAATCTCAAAAATGAGTTTCTAAGGGTAATTTAACGCGCTGAGTACGAATAACGTGTTTTTAGCCTATGTTGCCAAACAAAAAACTATCCAAACGCAATTTCGACACTTTTTTGGCTCTGACTGAACTCATTAAAATGCCTGTAAAAACTTCAAAACTGTATGCAATCAAAAACGATTTTTTTTCCCTTTTTTCGCCTTGAATTCAGCTTTCGAATGAGCTATAACACGTGTAGATTGGTTGAGTTTAAGAAGTTCTCCCAAAAACAAAACGGGCAGAACTTACCTTTCAATATTATAAATGTTTACCTAATCAATTCATTTCTTTCTTGTCTTGTTGTCTTGTCTTGAAACGTTACACCAACGCCGCCTTATCATCGATTTAGTGGAATGCTTTAAGATTGTTAAAGCCATTCATCCCGACCCCCTCTTTTCTGGCCTCTTTGAATTCGGCTCTCTACGGGACCTCTACGGGCCCAGAAGAAGGCCCAATACGCCAACCTTCCGTTTCCTCTAAAAGCCCCCACAGTTTCTTTTTTAATCGAGTTATTAAATTCTGGAACCTTTTACCCCCTCACGTTCGTGATATTCCCACCTTGGCTAGATTTAAAGCCGCAATTTCTGCAATTGATTTGACTGCTCTGTGATTCTTTCTCGAGGTATCTAATTATCTTTTGGTGTGTTTTGAGTGGTGTCCTGGGTAATTATTGTCATTTTGTTTTGTCGCTATTCAACTGAATAAAGCATATTATATATATATTGTATTTCTAGATGCTCGGATTTTCTTTTATTATTCTTGTCAATTACATCTTTGCCAATATTGTCGTCATCATCACAAATCTCTTTTTTGGACGAGAATTTCACTCGATTTTCGATAGTCTCAACGATTTCATCCAAGTTCTTCTTTTCAATCTTATTTCAAGGTGAGATTTTTGAAATTGAAAAACTAGACTAGCCCTAATTGAAGTCTAATTGAAGTCTAGTTGAATCCCGTTTTGTTTTTCATTTGATATTTATCTGAGTCAAACAAAAACAGAGTTAATTAAGCTAAAATTCTTGCATCTCAATGACCACACCCGATCGAATTAAGCGTTTTTCCATCTCGTGACTATTTTCAGTCACAGCTAATTTCCATTTTATCACGAAAGATTTCATTTTTGCCTTTTTAAACTATAAAGGGACAGAAAAAGATATAAAATTGTATGTTAATGTTACAAAGAAATCTCATTTACCAATTTTTAGCATAATCTGCATGTTTTGTCTGCGAAAGCGAAGAATCGCTTTGAAGAAATCGACCATCACGACGATTCGCTCTAATTCAATTCGCTCTAATCTCTAATTGAATGCAAATACCAATACGGTTCCAATACGGTTCCTATTTTGATCTAAAAGATTCCAATACGGTTCCTATTTTGATCTAAAAGGTTCCAATACGGTTCTAATAGGGTTCCAATAAGGTTCTAATAGGGTTCCAATACGGTTCCTATTTTGATCTAATACGGTTCCAATAGGGTTCCAATAGGGTTCCTATTTTGATCTAATACGGTTCCAATAGGGTTCCAATACGGTTCCTATTTTGATCTAATACGGTTCCAATAGGGTTCCAATACGGTTCCAATACGGTTCCTATTTTGATCTAATACGGTTCCAATAGGGTTCCAATACGGTTCCAATACGGTTCCTATTTTGATCTAATACGGTTCCAATAGGGTTCCAATAGGGTTCCTATTTTGATCTAATACGGTTCCAATAGGGTTCCAATACGGTTCCTATTTTGATCTAATACGGTTCCAATACTTTCTTTTACAGTCCTTGAAATTCTTTGTCTTCAAATAATTAGACAAATTCAACTTTTTTCTATAACAGAGTTCATTTGCTGGTGCAATTTGATTGATTTATTTTTTTGCTTTCTGTCTGATTTTAAAAGGGATACTTCGTTGCATTTTAAGTGACTTTGTGATCTTTTATCTGGTACATTTTTCAGATCCAAAGCTATTTTTAATAAATGTATTCTTGTATTAGTAAAGAGGCAGATTCAAATCCCAAAATGAGTTGACAAGAATGACAAGAACCGTCAATGAGTAAAACCAATCATCATTCAGAAGCGGATCAATTGTTTATATATATAGATACTTTATTCAGGATCTGAGATAAAGTGCGCTAGATTTAAGATTAAAACACATGGATTCATACACATTTAAATGAGTTTGATAACCGTCAATGAGTAAAACCAATCATCATTCAGAAGCGGATCAATTGTTTGATTTAAATGAATGATCCACAAACAATGATGCGTTGAATCGATCACCTGAAACTCGTTCTTAAGCAAAGTATAAACTTTTCTCTTTTTATTGATTTGAAAGTTATAAATATTTTATTGGAATTTATTGGAGAACTCAAAGAAAACTCAAAAACCAACTTTCTTTAAGTCTTCCAATAAAGTGCTGAACATGGAAGCGGCGTTATCCTGACCTGAAAACAGTTAAATGTATTTTGTAGTTAATCTGACTCATCTACATGCCAAGCCTATGAGAAACGAGTCATAACCCACTTGAAACACTTTTCTGATAGCCTTCATCGACTTGTTGAACTGATAATAGCTATGGTTGTTTGAATGGATCGCGTCGACAACATCAAAAAGCTTATCAACGCTCAAATGAGTTAGCAATAGGCCCTCTTGCGCTTCACAACCACTAAAAACAGTTTGTGAGCAAAAGCCGACTTAGAGTGACTTTTAAACCGACTTAGAGCCAGGATCTTTAGAAAAACTCCTAACTAGGTAATCTGGGTGAGAAATACCGAGCGTAAGAAGATTTTTTGCTTATCTCTTTACTCAAATTTAGAGTAAGGCATAAGGGCTACCCTGGTGGCAATGGGATTGTGTCGGTGTAACCCATTGGGTGAGCGTTCACCCGGCAAGTGAGAAGTCGCAGCTTCGAATCCCAGCGCCGACCATGTTTTGTATTCCAAACCCCAACCCATAAAAGGACCAACGTGTCCAACTTTAGTCCTAACTTTAATATTCTAGTCCGTCTTTCTGAAGTAAACGTAGTTCTTATTAAAGAGATATCTTTAGTATTCCTAAAAAACGCACCACTTACATCAAGAATTCCTTTAGCCCCTCTGAAGATCGAACAAGAAGGAATCCCGTCGGATATCGAAGAGGTGGCTGATCGAACAGTGACCATCTCTTGCCCCGTTTATGGAAAACCCACTTCAACAGTCAATTGGCTCAAGGTGGTCATCTTAGTTTTACTTGAAAACTGATTGATAACAGTTGTCAAAAGTACTTCTAGTCAAAGTTTTCATATTACTATTTCATTGGAAACCCGAATTTTAGAATGGCCGTCCACTCAGCGATCAGCAGAAAATCAAAACTTCAAATCGGCCAAAGCTCTATTCCTTGAAATTGGCTAAAGATGAAGCTGCCTAGATTCTTGGCAATACAAGTGTACTTGAATTGTTGTGAAAGTTAAAAGAACAATGTCTAGGCAACTGAGGTAAATCAAATAAAAAAAAACTGTTTTAAAACATTGTTCTTTTAACTTTCACAACAATTCAAGTACACTTGTATTGCCAAGAATCTAGCTGGGAAGGACAAGGGGAACTTTAATGTAAAACTTTTGGGTAACTTGACTTTTAAACTTATCCATAGATCCATTTGATATCCCTTTCAACACTAAATTCAATAATTTGCATACTTTACAATGTCAGATTTGTGGCATTCTTAAATTTCCTTTTCCAGAGGATCCCTGATGGCCCCAATCTCATGCGACGAGCTCAAACAAACGAAGGGGATCGAGCATTTTGACCAGTCCAGCTAGTCCAGCTAGTGGATCTCCACCACCAACTATCGCCTGGTCTGTATTTAACTTTTATCCGTTTTTGTCTTTTGTTATTTTACACTTTTTAAAAAGTGAGATTTTATTTCCATGAGATTCAAGTGAGCATCAATGAAAACTGTACAAAACAACCCGTTGCATTGTTCGTGATCAGCTTAGGCGGCACCGGAGGCACGGTTCTTCTTGTGGTGAGTGAGAGCGGCACGAGCGCGAGCAATCTTGCGGTGACGGTATCCACCGGATGGGGCAGGAGCAGGGGCAGCAGGCTCAGGGGCAACGGGCTCATCTCCGTACGAGTTCTGGGCGGGAGCTGGGGCGGGTTGGGCCTGGACCTCTTGTTGAGGAGCGGGTGCCTGGGGCTCGATGGGGGCTGGAGCGGGTGCTGGTGGGGCAGCCTCAATAGGAGCGGGTGCTGGTGGAGGAGCAAACTGCTGTGGTGGTGGAGCTGGGGCAGGCGCTGGTGGAGGGGGAGCGAACTGCTGTGGTGGTGGAGCCGGGGCGGGGGCTGGTGGTGGGGCGAACTGCTGTGGTGGTGGGGCAGGTGGGGCGAACGATGGAGCGGCTTGGGGAGCTGGCTGAGGCGCGAATTGAGGCATTGGAGCTGGAGCGGGTGGTGGAGGGGCGAAGGCTGGTGGTGGAGCCTGTTGGGCGTATCCTCCAGCTGGGGCACCTCCGAACGATTGTTGTGGGGCTCCTCCGAACGATTGTTGTGGGGCACCTCCGAACGATTGTTGTGGGGCACCTCCGAACGATTGTTGTGGGGCTCCTCCAAATCCTCCCGAAGTCGCATATCCACCTCCAGGTGCTCCCATTGGTGGAGGTGGAGCGAAAGGAGGGGGAGCTTGCTGCGCGTATCCTCCTTGTGGGGGTGGTGGAGGAGCGAATTGCTGAGGAGCAGGCTGAGGAGCGAATTGTTGAGGAGCAGGCTGTGGAGCGAATTGTTGAGGAGCAGGCTGAGGAGCGAATTGTTGAGGAGCAGGCTGAGGAGCGAACTGCTGAGGAGCAGGCTGAGGAGCGAATTGTGGGGCCTGTGGGGCGTACGATTGAACGGGAGCCGGTGCTTGTTGGGCATATCCACCGCCGCCTCCTCCAAACGATTGTTGTGGAGCTCCACCGAACGATTGTTGAGGCGCAGCTCCATAGCCTTGTGGGGCTCCACCGAACGATTGTTGAGGCGCAGCTCCATAGCCTTGTGGGGCTCCGCCGAACGATTGTTGAGGTGCACCGCCGAAGCCGCCAGCGCCAGCGTACTGGCTGAAAAGGGAAATATTAGTTATGGTTGATATCTATAGGATCATTAAGAGTAAGTACTTTAAAATCTTTAAGAGTAAGTACTAGCTGTGAAATCCTTTAGTTCACACTAGCAATGAACTAGTTGCAAGAAAGGCTTCTTAAAGAAAGGCTTCTCTTTCTTATAAGCTTCTAGTCAGTTTTGTTAGTCAGAACTGTAAGTTTCAAGAAATTAAAATTGAAAAACCAACCAGTTAGCTCCAACGAGGAGTGCAGCTAGAACTGTTGCCCGGATCATTGTGCTCAAGTGCTGTTTAAGCTTCATCGCTCGCTTAAATACTCATCAAATGTTGACTTGGAAGGGAAAAGAGAAATGATATTGAGAAAGGAAATCTCTCTCAATGAAATGCTTGTAAATGAGAACTCACTCGCAGAACAAAAGGCTATCAAAGGGTTTTTCTTGAGACAACCAAAGCTGAGCTTTTTTTCAGGATGAGCGCAATTTGTAAGTATCAGGAAAAAGTCGGGAAATGTATGAGAATTTTGATCACGGTATGATCCATTGTTATTTTGTTCAAGTGCCAAAACAATGGTGAACTGGGAAAGCGGAAAGCGGAAAGCGGGAAAGCGTAAGATTAATTTCCTTCTTTTTTCATGAGTTTGATAGACTCGACTCTGTATTTTTGAAAAAAAATATCAATATCTTCGCTTTTCTTGAGCGTGTATCACAAACAATCAAACAAAATTGATTTTAGGCTCAAAAATGGTGTTACATTGATAGCCGACCCTTGTCAGATCTTTCGGGACAATGGACAACGATTGCAGATCAAATACAATGCATTTGATTCCAGGGGTTGCTTAAGCAGCAATGCTAAACGTCTGCAGTTCTTTGCTTCCACAACAGTTAGCGTACTGCTTTCTAGAGATTGCTTTGCCTTATAGCTCATGTTTCACGATTTTTTTATGAAATTACAAAAAGAGCACTTGTAACTATGTCACTAACTATTGGGTTGATGGAAAAGTTCTTTCCGATTTTTTGGGAGAGTACCTTAAATTTGTCCAATTTTGACGTTTTATAGCTCATCTTAAAGCTGAATTCAAGACGGATCGATCGGTAAAAACCGTTTTGAGATATCTCTTTTCTAAAAGTTTTTACAGCTATTTTAGTAAAGGGTGGCAGAGCCAAAAGATGGCTGTTTTCACGTTTCGTTAGTTTTCCGTGCAGAAACCTAGGCTAAAAACATGTGTTTCGTGATCAGCGTCAAAAATAACCCCTAGACACGCATTTTCAGAATTTTAGCAAAAAATTTTTGAAAAATATTGTCACCGGTGGAAGTCGAACCAGCGACCCTCAGATCAATAGCCTTTCCGCCGCTTTTCGCGATTTTCCTTCGTTTTTCTCGTTTTTTTTTTGTTTTATCATTTTTTTGATGTTGTTTTTAGGGTACAACAATGTACAATGTCACTAATATTCAGATTGAACGGTGGCTCGTTCAAAACAAATCGAACAATGTACAGTGTCACTAATATGTCACTTTACAGTCAGATCTTCACTATGATTACAAGTATTACAAGTAGCATTTCTTGAATTCACTAACTCAACTTTAGCAACACTCAAGTGAAGAACCGTGCTCGATATACGTGTATGCCGTGACTTTTCCCTTAATTGAAATTTCTTTGGTTGTATTCTGTCTTTTCCTCGCAATTCCTTTGTTGCGAAAAGGAGAAAAACACTTGCTCTGTACTTGCGTTGAAAAGGATTGGAAAAAGATTACCCTTGATGTAATGGGGAAATGGGATTGAGTAGATGATTTTATGAGCTTTGACTCTTTTCCTATCCTTGAAAAGTTTTCAGGAAAATAGCGTAGAGGATTTGTTCGGTTTACTAAAGTCCACCTTGCCTTTCGGTCGTCATTCGGACATTTGATAACTGGACATTTGATAACCGACATTTGATAACCGTCGCATTTATTTAGTTCTAAAAACCGAATGCACTAATGTCGGTTATCAAATGGCTGCTAATCATCAAATTCAGCTTTTAAGACAACAAAAGGCTATCCAACGCTGTATATTCTTATAAAATACTTGTAATTATAGCAAGTTTACGTTAAATTTAAGGCTTTGCATGTAAAGATCAAATCTTTTAATTGACAAGATATTGCTAGAATCAACCTAAATATCTGGCTTGAATTTCTCTCAAAAGCTGTCTGAATTTTCTGAAATTTTTAATTAAAATAACTAACTAAATTGATTAAATTAGTAGCCGTCGTAGACGACCGGATAGAAGTCTTGTCTGCTAGTCGCAGAAACGATCATAAATCTTATTCTAATTCTGTTGAGCATATCCACCGCCGCCTCCTCCAAACGATTGTTGTGGAGCTCCACCGAACGATTGTTGAGGCGCAGCAGCTCCATAGCCTTGTGGGGCTCCACCGTCGTAGCCGACCGGATAGAAGTCTTGTCTCCTAGTCGGGGGTTCGATCCCGGCGACTAGAAAAATTCTTTTTCCCATTATTCTGATTTTTTTTCTCAAAAGCATTTGGGTAATAGGGGTAATTAGGGATAAAAATTTCCTCCGTTGTGTTGTAATTCATTATTCGTGTCGAATAAATACACTTTATAAACGTAATCAGTCAAAAACAATTCTATTTTTTAAACTCTTTCTAGACGAATAGCAAAATTTCAGGTTGATTAAAGCGAAAACGCAAAACTTATAGCTCGAAAAAGTTGGCGAGTCGTAATCGTATTTCAAGTTTTAATTGTTTTAAGAAATAGATCTGTGAAAAGATTTTTTTTTACCGAAAAATCTTTTCTAAACCAAAATTTCATCTAGTTTTCAAATTTCTAAACCGTTTTTTCATAAAAAGAATTTTCTGTTGACCTTAAAAACGAAATGGTTCCGAACTTTTGTGTCATCCTGTCCTTCCTGGTTACTTTTACTTTATATTAAAAAAACATACGGCAAATGTAGCTAAATGTTTTGATTTTAAAGGGAAATAGCCTATAAAACAAATTTTTAAAGTTTACAATGGTTTAAACTAGACTTCGGAAAACAAAACTTAACCAAAACCAAAACTACGAAAACCAAAACCAAAACAAACCAAAGCCAAAACCAAAACCAAAACTAACCAAAACTCGCCAATATCTCGCGACTGGGAGGAGCTAGCGAAAATCTGTCTGCAGATTTGAAATCAGCATCCAAAAATCTATCCCATAGGCTATTTTTTGTTTCGAAATTTCGAGGTCGTGTTTGGTCCTTTTTTCGGCCGCGAGATTTTGTGGAGTGAGAAAAAGTGAAAGGCAAATTTGCATTTTACAATTTTAAATTTACATTTTACAATTTTAAATTTACATGTTAATTTATATGCAAATTGAGTTTTGGTTTGTTTTGGTTTTGGTTTGTTTTGGTTTTGGTTTTGGTCTGTTTTGGTTTTGGTTTTGTTTGCCGAAGTCTAGTTTAAACTACACTGTAAGAACTTCCAATTATTGACTGCATTGACTTGGCTTACAATTAATATTTACCCCAGTACTATCAGTAGGAGTATTTTTTTAGTGTTACTACAGTATTTAGGGCTACAGTACTAAGAGTCTAGTGCTAAACGAATAGGTTTGCTTGATCGAGAACAATCAAGTTTACAAAGTGAACTTTTTATAAGAGATCGGCTCATTTTGTAAATTCTTTAGAAAAGAATCTGATTATTTAAGTATTTGTGTATAAAAAAAGTCACATAGATAGGTTATTTCTTAAAATCTTTCAAAAAAAAAAAGCTCAAAACACATTCTAGTCTCTCTCTTTCCTTCAAAATTTTCCCCTTTTTGTCATTTCTCTTTCGTTTCCGAAAAACTCAATAACTAAACAAAGAGAGCTATTTTTGTGACCAACACATTTTACAGGGTGCTTCAAAAACCTTTTCAAACCGAATTTGCTAAATATTTAGCATCGCCAATGCAATTTACATTGAAAATTGCAGATTTAAATCCAAAAGTAGTTCCAAAGTAAGAAAACGTAAAACCACTATGGAAAAGTATAAATCCCACACCATTTTAGTCTTGCCTGAATATCTTTTCTTCTCCGAATATAGTTATATATTGTTAAAACAGGTTCATTTCGTGTCTTTTTTTCTAGTCAGTTTTAAGTTTGTTA